ATACGAAATAAATCTTTCAAAATAACTACAAGGGATAAGAGAGCCAAGGACGCCAGACGAGTGCTTCCATTGCGAAGGACGTAACGAGTTCGACTCTTGCTCCAGCAACAGGAAACCACGGCGAAAGTTTGGTGCGTTCAAGCAGCATTTCTTTGCGCCCCAGAACTTAACAACACTCTTGCAACAATTCATACCATTGAAAACGCAAAAATGTTCCCAACAAACTCCTGTCGAAGATAACAATTTACAACAAGATACAACATTCATAAAATCATTTCACATACTACATAAATATTTTAAGATCATCTAAAAGACAAAGACTATTTCTCTAACAATTTTCTGCAAAATATGTGACACTTTATGGCTACAAAGACAGAAAAAAACTTAAAAATTATGAATCTTTATTATTAATTTCTAATGCGTGCAGGAATTAAAAGAAAACTATGAACCCACTACCCATGAGAGAGGTGAAAAAATGTGTTTCGATTTTGAGTAAGAAATGCAAATATTTGATTGTGTTTTTTCTGTATATTCTCATAATACGCGTGCTATTGCATCTAGTATTACGTGCGTTACTCCTTACGACACAACTGACGTTTTATGACAACAAGGCTCCAGGGAAGAGCCTCCCAGCCATTACAAATTTGCTGTTCATATATTCCGCAACGGTACATTAGCTTTTTTCATATTATTAGTACGAACAGAAATATATGTAATACAAACAGATTGATGCTATGTTATTGAAGTAATCGTAAATCGTGTTTTGGTTAAAATATATTTGTATGTTAAAACTAAAATTTTATTGCAGTGTTTAACAAGAATATTTTATATATTTATTTTGATCGGAGTGCGTACTACATTTTGGAATACAATTTTTGTGCTTTAGTTAAGCAACATTTTTGCTCCCGTAGTCCACTATTTAACACTAAATCTAATCGTGAGGTCAATTACACCTGGTAGGTCCTTTAGAGCGGGTGATGTGAGTGGGACGTGGGTGGCGGAGACAGGGATGACATGGCAGACTGACTTTGGATTCGCACGGACGTCGTCAGGTTCGCGACAGCACGATCCACAATAATGGGGAAAATAGCGAGTAACGAAGACGCTAGACACTCCGGTGTGGGTTGGAGGCTGGGTGACATGTAATAGAACTGGCGATTGAAGTGGTGGGAATGAACTTGCAGACGGCGAAGCAGTCAGCTGTATGAAACTGTATGCAGGAAATAGATCAAGAAGAGAGAAATCAGAAAACGTTGAAGACGGCAGACTAAAAATATTATGAGAGAGACTCGAATATCCTAGAAACGATGGAGTGAAAACGTATTGGGGCGGAATGGCGATGTCATGGCAGAAAAGGTAGTAAAGTGTCCGAGAAATTCGGATTGTCCGCTTTAATTTTAGTGGCAATCACCATCAAGGGAGGTTACTGAAGGATGCCTATATTAAAAGAGTCATGTCGCGAGTACCTCCTCAAGGCCAAGAGGCACCGAGTGAGTATTTAGTGTTTCCGGGCGCGTCATCTTCCGAGGTCACAGTCCTGTCAGTAAGTGCACGTCATATCCGGGACGTCTATGCCGTGTTTCTCCCCGCCGGGACGTGAAATCCGAGCAGACCAACATCACGAGTAAACGTGGACTTTAAGGGGAAATGAATGGACGAGGATAAGGAGGGACAGACCACGCGTTGCTCATGACCCGCTTGACAGGGTCTTGGTCGCCGGATCCATCGAAGAAACCTCAGAAAATCAAGCATCAGAGCAGTCGTCCGCCAGAATTCTCCTTCCGGGAGAAGTTGCGTTTGGCCTAGCTTCGACGCCAGTGTCATCATTCAGACGTGACGACTTGACCTCTAGGACCTCCCACTTAGAGACTGGAAGCGGCACTGGACGCTGTCCCTAAGCTACCTCAGCCGACCAAAGCGGCTGCAGCGGCAGCGGTCCAAGCCTCAGCAGCAGATCATTAACGGAGTCGGCGGTGGCGAGTGCGGGCCCGGCCGCAAAAACTGCCTCCTACGCCACGGGGCGCACGCCTGCGGCTCCGTCGTGCGATTCGCCAAGCGTCATATTTCACCGCGGGCAGCTCGCGGCGGCGGGACGACGGACGGGCGACGCCCGCTGGGAAACACCTGGGAGCGAGCGAGAGAGCGAGGCGCGGCGGCTTCCAGGTCGTGACACGGGCCCTACGTGACGTCGCCGCCGATTCTACATGGTGGACGCCACGGAACTCGCTCCATCCTTCAGTCACGCGCCGAAATCAATGAATCCAGAGTAACAGTCGCGTACTTCCTCCCCTCGTGTATACTCAAAACTGAAATGGAATATGATAAGCATAAGACGCAGTTTCATGTTTATTTTATAACAGCGGAAATATCCTGCGTCAACTCGTTATTTCTTATCACAAACCTCAATTAGACAGAGAAATAGTGCTGCTAAACGTTTCTCGCCCTTTCTCGCGAGCTGTACTTTCTCGCCCGAACTTTCACGCAATATTACGCGAACAATATTCAAATTTTCGACAAATTGTACGTTATTTCATTTCAAAATCTATATTTAAGGAAACGATTTTATTTTGAGAAAAAATCACTATCTTCATAATTGTAGCTGTAGGACCACTCCGCAAAAATTTTGAATTTTGCGGAGTTTTGAATTTTCGAAAAATCAGCGTTTTTAACGGAAATTAGACATGCAGCTTTCTTTTAAACGACCTTCACACTATCCAACAACAAAATTTATTCGAAAAGGATGAAGACATTTTTTTAATTTTGAAAATATCCCAGGAGTTTCATGTAAAGTACCTCCAAAACCTTAAAACATCGTTTTCAAATGCAAGGGTCCGCGATCCCAGCCAATTCGATTCGGGAATATCAGTTTTGGAGAAAATCAGCTGAATGGTTTAGCCGGTACCGTTGTTCACAGACGGATAGATGAATGGGCGGACGGACGGATGGATGGATGGACGGATGGATAGACGGACGTTTTGTGGTGATTCAATTTTTGGGTATCAAGGACCCCAAACAAAACATTAATTCTGGCTACACCATGTGAGAATTTTCTTTTCTAAATTTACCAACTGAATTGATCCACTTTTTCGTTATCAGCGCTCTGTAATAATAGTTTTTCTGCCAAAAATTCGCCGTTTGTTTCGCCCAGCTTTACATAACATTCTCTCTACTGCGTAAGCGGTAGCGAGAAAGTTAAAGGATAGATTCTGTGTACAATTTACACCGGTCTTACCCTGACCTTTACCTCCCTGACCTTCACTTCAGCGTCCCTTCATCGTGTCGCCCAACTTCATCCTGCTACATCTCACCAACCTTCCGTCATGCGTTTTCTGGCCCTGCTCCGCACTGACAAGCCATGATTGCTTCGGTTGCTACCATCATCATTGCTAAGGGCAGCTGTAAACAGACGCATTGTTGCGCACTTCCGGCTAATTTGCAGTAAGAATTTTGACATTTAATTATTCAAAGTCTAATTTTTAATATAAATTTAAGAAAATGTTGCATTAATTCTTCATTATTTACTTCATGTAATTATTATTGAAGAAATTATAGACCAATTTTGTTATAATACGAGTATTAAAGTTGGAAGGCTCGAATGGTTGTTTTGTGTGTATACACAGAGTTAATAGCTGAGCAGTTTTATCTAAATTAAAATTATTTTCGAAGATAGTTGAGATAAACCTTTCTACCTGTCAGTGAATATCGATTTTGAAATTTGTTCAGCCATTCCAGAGATTACCCCAGACAGATTAACGAACAGACGCCACACAAAAAAAATGTAAAAAACAATTGACGTTTCTTGTGAATCGTCCACATAGGCGATGAGGCTGTTAATTTTAAATCACAGACATACAATTGAATTTTATCGGTATATAAGATAGATCATTTCATTGCTAATGGATAGGGTAATTTAATACCAACATATATACTTTTTTCAAATCATTTTAATAGATCTTCGCATTGAAAATCTTAGCAAAGTAATATTATTTGAGGGATTTTGCTTCAGCAGCAAATTTCACAAGAAATATAAAGGTGGACTAAATAAGAAATGATGAGAATATGAGAAAAGCAAACAATTCCACTTTTTTTACGTCTGTTTGGAAATTATAGTTTCAAGCCTTCTTAATTTTTAAGTTTTGCAGATTTCCACAAACGTACAGAATTTTCCACAAAGTCTAGGCCTCCTTTTATCTCTCGACATTTGGTTGTGGCATCTCCTCTAAACCGTTAAGTAGCCGTTGGATGAGACTCATCATCCGCGAAGGATCTAGGTGTCGTGGTTAATATCCGACAGCAAGGGGTCCAATTCGCGATAATTGAATGACGCCATTACGGCGACCCCGTATTGCGAATCAACACGAGTGACGAGCCCGCGGATTCTATTTGCTGTCGACGCGATGGAGCAATATCGGCGAGAGGCGCGGGCGCTAACCGAATGCAGAGATTTCCCGCGCTCAGTGTGCAAAGGGAATAAATCCCAATTACTTGGAGCGCGGGAGCGGTGGTGGTCGCGGCAATGGCGAGGGCGACGGATCGACCGCACGGAATGCAGCCCATGTTTGTGCTGGTGGTGGCAATTGTGGCTTCTAACGTGAAGAGGCGAATTTTGTTTGAATGCAGAAAAGCGCGTGTATGCGGTGGCAGACGGCGACAATGAGAGCGGCGTCGCTGACCCCAAGGCGAAGACACGCCGTCCCGCTCGAGGGGCAGAGGAGGCGATGGCAGGAGGCACGTCGATGGCAGCGCCGCTAGCACCACAGTGGGATTTACAGTGGAGGCGGCGGCGACAGCAGAGGGCGCGAGGCCCCTCGCCGATGCTATTAACAGATTTGCTTTAATTACCAACCTGACGGCCGGTAAAACCATTGATCCATTTGGGGCGAAATAGAATTAGGCGATCGGCTGCAGCTGCGTGCCCAAGGAGCCCCGCTGCGCAAGGCAGTTCCCGCCCCCCCAGCCATCGCCCGTCGCGTCAGTGCTGTCGTCGGTCGCCGTTCAAGTTAATTCGCTGCAAACGACGCAAACGTGGTTACTCCAACACGCGATGCGTGCTTATGAGCTTGACGACGATCAACAGGCGGGAATGAGTAAACGGCCCCGCGGATATCGGCTCGTAAACTGCGCAGGTGATGAGGTTTGCCGCGGGGCGAGACGCGCGCTTGTGAATGATGCAGCGTCAAAGGGAAAGTTGGCACGACATTAGCGATGGACCCCACGGATAGAGCGACTAAAGGAGCCGCAAATGGGGTGTTGTCAACACAAAGTTGAAATTGGACAGTTCAATCTCCTTATGTTTGTAATGTTATGTATTTGTAAATAATAAACGTACTGCTACGAGTAATGTTCACAAAATCTACTAAAAGAGAAATGTGGAAGTATAATAGTTCCTACAACGGTAAATGAAATGAATATTTTCCACTTCTGATTTAGAATTTAAAAAAACAAGTTCCAAGAAATATAATATAAAATCAAATTTTACGGTTTTACAATATTTACGGTTACGTATATGTTTTTCCCGCTCCTAAAAGCTTAAAATATATCTTAACAGGAATTTGAGAAGTTACAAAGTAAATAAGTATTAAATAATGCCTGCGTTGAATAATGTATTATTAATAAATTATATTGTAAAATTGTTGCCTTTAATATATGTAGGGCTTTCTCAAAAACGTACTGAAATTTATGTATATGCTCCTTGAGCCTATGTGACTGTACATTATCAAATGCAGAGTTATCTAAAATGTCAACAGTTGATTAACAACTTCACTTACATTATTTTGGAAAAAATAATAAAGACAATAGATCAGAAGAAATCATTTGCTAACGGGTAAATACCATTTTATTGCCAAACAACTTTCAATGAGATATTGTTGCATCATTAATATTCCAAATACCAATTTACATAGAATACCAATGAAGAATGTGTGGTGAACACATCATTTGAAGGGATAAGCGGCACAGTAAAATATTTTGCCCCGCCCAAATCATATAGTAAAAGCACCAAAATTTCATGAAGTTTCTTAACTTTAAATGAACGTTATACTGCGATTCATCTGCGTCAGTTTTCAAAATAAAACACGCTAAGATACATTTATTTGCAATTTCATTCTGATCTCGGGCCTCATCTTTCGGACAACTACATTTGGTAATTATATGAACGATATGAAATATGTTAATTTTACAATCAATTTTTTAACAATCTCTTTCACGTTGGAAATTCACACGACGAAATTCACGCCTTAATGGAATCGAACAATGAGGAGCTTAAGCGAACAACCTTTTTTTATTCGCTCCAATGGTCGGCATAAATCGTTGAGTACTCACAACTTTTACTGCGAAGGTCCCAGATCTTGAGGGTGCGGTCATAACCACCAGTGACTACTTTCGTAGGCTCGCCCAGGAACTTGGCCGTCATCACTTTGCCGGAGTGGCCCGTTAGGGTGTGCTGTAAACAAAAATTATTTTTTTTAAATCATTGCCATATTTAATATGGTACTTAACACTTAATCTACAAAAAGGACAGAGGCCTACAGTTAATAATTAAATTTATAGGGTGTAATATGGTATGATAATGATGTAATGCCCAATGTACACTACTAAAGAATGATTTCGTAACGCACGTTAGGAACAATATGAACTAAAAAAGGATTACGTATTATGAGAATAAAGTCTTTGAAAATGAAAATACCAAGATGATAGACTTTTGTTATTGAATTTTGGAAATGTACTTAAACCAAAAATGTTCTCAAAATAAGATGTACTCAAAATAAATACACTTTCAAGAACAGAATTTTCATATTTGGAGTCACCAGATGAGAAAGACAATATTTAGAAACTATAACTAAGGAATATTAATTTTTATTAACTATATGGCTGAATAAAACACTAATAATTTATAATTAAATATTGGGAATAATTTCAAAACGAACACATTACAACCTCAGTTTTATTTTCATTTGTTTCGCATTACCCCAAAACACGTTTCATGTTTCGTAATGATTATTCCATTATGCGAAGAACCATTCGCTCAGAATGTTACATTTCACAAATAATGAGAGTACAGAACACAAATCAAAGCCATATGACAGCTACATTTAATTACGTTGTGACGGAGATTTACACAAATGTTTTGTAAATTGCGTGGTTTGGGAGAAGTAACGACAAAACATCTGGGCCAGCTATGAATTTCCCTTCTTCGGTCTATAAACCAGAAACAAATGTTGTCTCTAATGCGTTACATCAGAAAAACGATGCGCCTCGAGATGTCAACCCTTATAAAGTGCATCAGCAAAACTACAAGAATGTGATATGATATGTGCATTAATTTGGCTACTGTCCAGTTTATATTTTCATGTGGTCATGGAAGCAAGAGAAAGGATGATCAAACCAACCTTATATTTCGAAAGTGTATATTAGAAACTACAAGAATTTTACTGTGTTAAAAATAGAGCTGGCATTCGGTTAGATATCAGTGAAGAAAACAATGAATTTAATCAACTGAGTTATGAATAAACAAAAACATTTTGTGTATAAGTATTTTATTTTGTAATATACTTTGATTAATAGTATTAAACATACAAATACGGTTATTGAACAAATTCAATTATATATTTATACATAGTTGATATATAGATAATATAATACAAACATATATATATATATATATATATATAATTATATATAATGGTTATAACCTTCAAGTACATAATTTGACAATTAAATTCCGAAATAGAAACTCAGTTGGGTTTCAGTAATAAAAACAGAAAACAACATTGAAAGATTTGACTCCAGGTCAATGTCAATAATAGCTTTTTATAAGCGATCATTCATCGATTCTCTCTTTCACTCTCCGAAATTAGTCACCAGGTGCCTCACATGCGGTGTCAACTACCTCTTCAGTAACGCAGCAGATTCGAATTTTAAAGGAACAATGACACAGACACAAGTGTCTTTGTTTTCTTTTCATGTATTTATGGCACATCCCACCCTACCCTTCCTTGCCCAACCCTGATACACCGTGGCCTACACCGCCCCGTTCTGTCACTCTGGCCCATCCCACCCGCCCAGCTCCACGCTCTCTCTCCTACCCGTCTCGCCGCGCGTCACTCCACCACCGCAGGCCTGATCTGCACAGCCCTTATTACGATACCGCCACCACCGTCGTTGCCATGGGTAGCTGTAACAGATGCACTGTAGACACTCACGTCCAGCAACAGTTTGGTCTGAATTTACTCTGAACCTAATTTCGCTCTTGAAATGAATTAAAATGCATTTAGTAGGAAATTTAATGGATTTTCTGAAACGTTTAACGAACTTCCCTGACTTTACTCATTGGTTTTTAGATATCTGCGAAACACTGAAAGAGTTCACAGTTAAATTATGCTCAATGGGGTAGGTGAGAGTAATTTTTACCAAATCGCAGACAATGACTTTTCTGTTGTTTTGAATGTCGCATGTCCAAAACTCCATTAATATGGGAATGAAACTGTAGATTGGTACACACAAAAAAACAGTCTTCTGAGGCAGTTATTTGGAAATGACAGGGACACATTTCATTTTCATTGGCATAGATAAACAATCGGAGAAATTATACATTCAACTACTGCTACAATCCTCAATAACAAAACTTTTATTTTAAAATTTACGTTATAAGTATTTCAGAATGTTTCTACTAATTTTATTATCTTTCTTTTAAAATTCCGTCGAAAATTTCCCTATGCCTCCAGATCGATGCTTGTCCATGACCAAAGTCATTAACGCGAAACGCCGAAGATCCATTAGACTCGGATGATCACTCCAGATTAATTCCACACAAATTCTAAATCAATAAAGTGCGAGTGGATCTGAGATATCAACACAGCACAAAAAAGGGATAAATAAAATTCATTGGCAGTCACGCCGCAGTAGATTTAAGTGAAGGCTTACTTTCATGTGATCGATAAAAACAAATTAACTAATGAAAAACAAGGGCACAGCGGTTTAATGGAATGTGTGAGACGACAAGTTTTATTTATGAAGACAAGGGGGTAATTTAGTTTTCAAATACACATAGTGCAAATTAAAGAGGAACATACACGCTTGAAATACGTGACAACTTCACGACTGCGATGTCGCGCTTCTCGTGTTCAACCGAATTCAGAAAAAATCAGGAGCAGGTGGATTTCGTTCATGATAGTTTTTCTCACAATATTGAGGACACAAGTCGCACTTTTCTCGATCAGGTAAAACGGAACAAGGAAAATGGGCCGAATCTCCAGCTTACGATATCATTTGAGATAATACAGCAAATTCAAAGAGATGAGCATAAATTTGTCTTTACTTGTCGCTTTTTTGTTATTTCTTCATCAACAAAATGAGGAATTGCTATATTTTTCCATGATTATTTTATACATATTTGTATAGTTGTGTACCACTACTTATACCAATGGAATCCGAATGTTCTACAATCCCATTTCACCCCATACTCTAAACTTCAAAGATTTCACTTTAATATGTAATATTTCGCACACGATTCCTAACTTTAGCTTACTTTTACAAAGCACTATATTGGTTGGCATTGAATGGATAACGTTCTAGCATGTTTTTAATTTTTTGGGAATTTCAATACCAATTTTACTAAAGTCCGTCAACTATTAGAAATGCAAGTTGTATGTTGAAAAACCATCATGAAACGCAATATTGAGTTATCAATCTCTGGTTGTCTCCCAGCTGTCCTGGTGAAGTCCCCACCAACAATACTACACATCACCTTTCTACTTTTTTATTTCTATTTTTTTTATTGTTGCGTACATAAAAGTTTTCGAGACCAGCATAGCTTATTGGTAATTTCCTCTTCCAGCTTCCTCTCTTGTTTCGATATTGCTGTTGCTGACGCGTTATCCATTTTCACTTCTGTCAAAAGGGTGCCTGCGATTGTTCGGCAACTTTTTGTCTGAAATAATTTTACTCTTTTTAAAATTCTGTATAACCGAAAAACATTTCAAAACTAAAAACTTTTGATAATTTAAAGAGATGTTTCGAGAGTAGGCATGTCTTAAAGAGGAAGTTTCCAAAAGGTGTTACAGTTTATTTTCAACTATACCCACTACCCTACAAAATTTTAATATTTCTCTGCATGTCATTTCCAATGATGTTAGATTGTTAAATTCAAAAAGGAAACGAAACGTTACTGCACACATACACATACGCGTGTGTGTGTGTGTGTTAGTGTGGGTGTGTGATGTGAAATTCGTACAGAAAGTTCTTGTATAAACGTACGACGTTATACATCGACATACAAAGCGCCAATTTTAGTCAAAACTATCTTATCGTTCCAAGTAATCGATCTTATTGGTTGTATTTGGTTGACATTTTCATTTTTGTAAAATATATTCCTGTCTGCTCAACATTGAAGTGGTACAACGGCGTGAAAATGTACGGATAACTTATGATACCTAAGTTGATTACAGATGTCTTTCTCGGGTGTTCAACAATCGTGTTTGTTTTGTTTTATGGAAAAAAAAAATCTGTGAAGTAGTATTAAAGTACGGATAGTTTTTAGATTGCTAAAGGTGAGGTGAAATGTTGAAAAGTTAAACATTTGAATCAATTTGGTTTATATATATATATATATATATATATATATATATATATATATTTGATTTGATGAATGATTTCCAAATTAAATGGCCGTCTCTTAGTACTCCTAGGTAATAGGCAAGATTAAATTTGTTAAGCAAGTTAAGAAGGGGTATTGTTGATAGGAGAGGTAGATTTTTTGATTTTCTGATAGTAAATATGTTTTTTTTGTTTTGTGTTAACATTTAATCGCCATTTATGAAACCAGGATTAAAAATGTGATAAGATCATTCAAAACATACTGATGTTTTCTATCAGTATGTTTTCTTGGACGTGTAGATTGCTGTATCAAGTAGAAAATAAATATATTGGAGTCTGGAATTTTGGGATGATCAGAAGTGTATATATTGAGCAGTGTGCGCAAGTACTGAGCCTTGGGAAACGCCAGCTTATATCAGAGGTTAAGTTTCAGTAGATTAGATTTATTTTTACTTGAAAATTTATGTTAGTGAAGTAGCTAGAGATATTTTTTGTAGAAGTCTAGAGGAGCTAATTGCTGAATTTTGAAAGGAACTTCTTTATTCCAAACGCTATCAAAGGCTATGGTAATATCAAGGAATTCGGCTGCTGTGTGCTGTTTGGTGTGAAAGATATTCGCTATAAATTCAGTTAATTAATATAATTAATATTAATAATATAAATTCAGTGTTACAATTCTTAGAAATTGTGAGAAGCATCCTATAAGAACACACGGAATTCTTGAACTCCCAACGTGTTTTCTCGTAAAGTTGCGAATGTCGTTTTGCCATTTGATTTATAAATTATTTTAAGTCAAAATTCATTAAATTCTATTGCCTGTTATTGGAATGAAGGTCTTCTCGAAAAATTCAGAAATGCTAAAAATGCAAATACATGGAATGTTTATCAAACGAATATAAAATTTTATGGGCACTCTTGAAGATTTCTGAAAGCAAAAATAAATATTAAGAGAACTCGAGAACAGGAAAGTATCGTAACTGAAATGTAAAGGAGAGCAGCAAAATTCACGTGTAATATTGTGTATTGTTTTACGTATAGTTTCAAGTCTGTAAGACTACGTCAGTTCTCATTCCATTAACACTTCAAATTGAAATTGCATTCGTTGTTAGAAACTTTATTTTCTTCTCACGTACAGTCCACAAAACATTTTAGTGGGAATCTCGAATAATACTTCCACAATCACGACAACAAAGGCTCACCTGCTCAATTTTCAATTATAATTCTGTTTTACTTACAATTCCATGAAAAAAGACTTACCACTTCAAATTTTTATGACTCGTCACTACTTTTATTAATATTAACTGTCTAAATTCTTGTTATGTATAGCTCAAAATGTATCGATATAAACATAATTAGATTAGAAAATTGTTTCTGTACTGAATTCAGTGAACCTGAAAAATTTTACAGAGGTCATGAGATTCAAAGTAACAACTGAAGTATATAAGCCCATTATTTATATTTTAAACGTAACTATTATTTACATCACATGAATGCACAATTTCAACTGGACATTATCCATAGACTACAGAAGTAGTCTTTCTTTCCTCCACGGCCCCACCTTCCGCGCCCTGCTTCCTCTCCTTCCTGCAGCAAGGGCGGCGACTTCGCAACAGCCCCGTTCCCCGTTCTCGTCCCTGCCGCTCCTCGCGGCGTGGGAGGTTCAGCGCCCGACGGGGGGAGGGAGAGGGGGCGTGTCCCGAAGCTGCGCCTTACGTCACCCGGGATCACCCCATCTGCTCCCCCGCCGCAAGCAGAAGCCTCGCGCACGGGGCGGGGAGAGGGTGAGAGGGGAGGGGGAAAGAAGGCCCGGGTTCCTTTCTTTACGCGGAGTCGTATTCGCGACGGCCGGGATTTGAATCCCAGGGGCGCCCGCGCGCGATGTGTTCTCTTTCGCAGCCTTCAGACGTATGTGCAGCAGGTAGATCTGCCGGCATCCGAGAACGCAGACGTATGTGAGGGGAGATGGAGAGGGGGAAATGATGACGCAACGCTAGTGCGTAAATCACTGCAGCTTACGTTGCCATGCGCTGTTGCGTGGAGGTCTTAGCCGGGCCGCTGCTGGGGAGGGACGGGTGTGCTGATAAGAAACGTACATCTCCAGGAGACAGGGCGAAACCTAACTAATACAAGGGACAGGAGAAATGTTGCTGTGCCAGGCCATGGACGTTTTTCTGATGGGTAAATAATTTGTGCACTACAGAAAGATTTGTTTCATCGAAAAGTAAAAAACAAAAATAAAACTAATATCCAACATGCTAGGAAATGGAAAGAAAGAAAAACACTTCAGTCCTGATGTAAAGTAATGAGTCATGCACCACAGAAGGATAAGGCAGTGGACACGGCGGAAAATTTAAAATAAGATATGAATGTTGTTAATCGAGGTCAGTCTTCTGGACTCAAACAAAAGATCGTACGTTTTGGACAGCAAATACTGGTACAATGAACAACCGCCGTGCCAAGGAGCAAACTGAGGACAGTGAGCAAGTTGGGCAAGCACTGGGCGTCTGACAGAGAAGACAACGAATATAAAGGAACTATAGTCTGAAAGCGGAGAGGTGATACAGAAGAAGCCGAAAGGCACAGATGTCGGGTAGGGAGGTGGTGGAGGGAAAGGCGATACTCGGAAAGAGAGAGAAGACATAAACAAAGAAAGGAGATGAAGCCCCTGGATTAGGTAGCCTAGGGCTCAATTGTTCCTCCGTCAGGGAAGTTCTACGATTCGAGCCTCGACGGAGGCAGATTTTCGAAGATAACTAGATACTAGCTATGTCGAATACAGCCGCTATCTGGAAGAGAATTCTAGCGTTCGACTTCTCTGATCGGTGGTTTACCGTGGTTTCTCCGATCAACAACAGACGATTGTGGAAGCAGTACCCTGCAAAATGGCCCAAGGACCGCGCGAGTTCTTTCCTTCGTCTTCCCTTTCCTAACCTCACCCCTCACTTACATACACCTACAATAACATGCACCACACTACCACACACGACGAGAGACAAGTCTGTACTTGTCCTGAGTGTAGTGGGGCTCCGCTGGTGGGAGATACCAGGTTAGGGAAAACCCCGCAAGCTGACGCCGGACCTCGCATCCAGCGAGAGAAGATCATCGCCACTGCCCACGATAGCAACATGCAATGCACTTACGGGATAAACATCTTTAGTAGTTGAGGCGTCCGGAAACACTAA